TATATATATATATTCCGTCTCCATCAGTTAGGGTGTCCCAGACTGAAAAATGTTGAATATCCTTGTAAGAAATATTCGTGTTCAAAGACTGAAGTCAATAGAAAACCACCACTGTTAAATATTATGATTGTTAGACGGAATAAAACCATACAAAACCAGAATTCTGGAGTGAGGGTTTATTGTCACTGGAGCTGACAACCACACACTGCCGGCAAAACAGGAAGTTGATCCATTTATACAGAGTCTTCAATGCCCGCGTTCGCCCTCTACTGACCTACGGCTGARTCACAGGCATTCATRCAAAATTCTCACCTACTGTTCTCACAAAGGTTAAATATGTGTTGTTATGGATATTTCGGACATGCAACTAATCTATATCAATCAACACATAATAGAGTAAACATTATAAAAAGGAAAACCCAAAAATATAGTGTTGTGCTTTTAACATCAGTACTAAACTCTAATAACTATAAATTTCTTCACCCTTACTCTTAGCAATAACAGTTCTTGCAACACTGCATGGTTTGAGCAAATAGTGCTCTTTCTCATCATAAGATGTTCTTAGTTTGCAAACATGAAATATGCTGAGAAACATAGATTCTTTCAAGGAATGCTAGGTCTAGCTGTAAAGTAGYACAAAATACTTTATATATCTCAAAAGGATTTTTTAGGTGATCTGCTTTGTGTAAAACCCAGATCCTGCGCACGCTGAATCAGATAAAACAACAATGTTGACGAAACGGAGCAACACAATAAAGTTGACGGACTATTTTTTAAACAAGAAACAATAAATTTTGTTACCTTGTAACAGTTGCAGACTTCTTGCATTGTTGTAAATATGCTCACATCCTTTTAAAAGTTGTTTATTTTTCAGATTTTACTATTTCCACCCATCTCTGTTACAGGAATTTTTGGTAGAAAATAGAAATGTCAACAGGAAAAGTAAGAGCTGCAGGAGGGCATGGTGACACACTTACAGAGCTGAGGAGTTTCTTTCAGTGTACAGTCTCATGCTGGGTGATGATGGTAATATGTTGTGGATGATGGTAAAAAAACAAAAAGTTCCAGAACAATGAAAAGGAAAAAAAATCCTTGTGCAGAAAAGTCCTGAAAATATGTGGGGTTTTTTTTTGGAGGCTTCATGTCTTAGGAGGTCATGACCTTTTAACAAGATAACACGTTAAACCGCTCTTGTGTGGTAGCCACTCACTTTTCTCAATGGCTGTTTTTCYTCAGCTGCTTTTCGGCAGATTCTAATGTTTTTTGTTTTTGCTCGGCGAATCCGTTAGAGTGCTGCTGGAATCCCGAGCTTCCAGAAAACATACATCCTTGATGAGGCTTGTCTAAGTGCAGCGACAGAAACCACCAAACGAGTCACAGGGGTAATGAGCCCCTTACGGTGTGAGGAGAAATAAATGGATTTGCTCTCTTTAGGCTGGAGTTACGATTCTTCAGGCTGCTTGTACATCATTGTGCACAAGTTCAGTCTAGACAGATTCAAGTGTCATTCTTTTCATGCTGGCATTGTGCCAGCTACCAGCAGCGAACACATGCATGTGGATTATTTTTTTTAAGGAGAGGGTTATTATTTCTCTAAACAATCCTCTGCRTTATGATACAGAACAAGTTCCATTAGAGATATGAAGTGGTGTGGACTTCCTGTCACATAAGTGAGAAGCTTTTAATGGTGCTAACATTGTGTGTAAAAACGAGATGCTGAAGCACATGGAAAGTGTTAGGAGTGCTGTGAAAAAGAACAGAGCATTGTGGGTTTATCACAACTGATATTGTTTCCTCAATATTCACCAGCAATATTCTAATCGCATGTCTTTATATAGTGCAGGCAGATGAAAATGTATGTGTTGTACCCAGGGCCAGCCTGTGGCAGGCAGTATAGACAAATGCTAAGGCCTCCACAAATGTGGGACAAAAAATATTTAATAACTGTATATCATAGTATTGTTGATTTAGTATGTAGAATAATCACTGTTTACTCAAGTTAATGAAGGTAGCTTGTCCTGCTTTGTTACTACATCAGGTGTTATATAGTGCAGAGGATAGTTTATGCTAAAAGTATCATATTATGCATTCAAGCCACTAATGGTGTTCAGTTTGTAAATACTGTAGAAAACAAAAAGTTAATAGAAGTCTCAGTTCTGATCTCAGATAAAGTTCAGGTTAAAGTCTGGTTTTCAGTGTTCTACCTTCATAAAATACTGATGTTATTTTGTTTTATTAATCCCAAAAATTTAGTAATGCTCATCAAATAACTGGGCAATGCCTAATTTTGAGTAGATCTTTGCAAAACCTTCTGAGAGAGAATACTCCTGGACCCCCATAGAGCTGCTTCACTCCACCGCTGCTCGTTAACATGAACAGTTCCTCGTTGCTGTCAGCAGGTGATGACGTTTATGAGGTGGACTTCTGGTATTCTGTTTCAAATGAATTATATTGTTAAATRTTTTAACTGGACAACTGGACAACTAATTTCAACCAAAGATAAAACTATTTAATTTAGTATAAGAATGTATAGTGACGAGATTTAGAAAACTGCAAAGAGGGTGCCACCTGAAAGCTTGCCTAGGACACCAAATTGACCAGGGCCAGCCCTGGTTGTACTTAACACCTATGCAGATGTGGTAAAACAACATTTATCTCTGCATTAGCATAAATCCAACCATTAAATGAAACTGTATTTTAGTTTTTAATGAGACTAAAACAGTAATTTTTGGGGGAGTATAAATTCTCTGRTTTTTATTTCCCAGAACATACAAATCAGATTTAAACCTAATCCTCCTGAAATTTCCAAACCGATTTGAACCTTCATATATGTGAGCACACAGGTTTCAATTTGAATTAAGAAAGCACCCTTGGATGAAAAGGGAAACATCTTTAAAAAAATAAAAAGAGGTGAGGTTATCTTACGACACTTTTAAGCAAAGATTGCTGGATTTAACTTTGATGAGAGTTTAAACGAGTGACTTTAGAAGCCAGAAACCTTCAGACACTTAACATTCAGTTCCCTGAAACTTTGTTTGCTGCACAAACTGAATGTAGTGACAAACTTGCACAGTTATGAACCTGAATAAAAACATAAATAAATGGGGTAGAAACTGAACTGCATCGTGGCTGAATTCTATTTCTATTCACGTTTCAGACGGGAAGGTGGAGGTGACAAAGGAGGGCCTGAAGCTCTGCACCATGGGGCCCGGGAAGGTGTTTGGAGAGCTGGCTATTCTCTACAACTGCACCAGGACCGCCACTGTCAAGAGTGAGTTTCCACAGACACCCAGAGCTCACACGYGCACGCTGAAATCTGTTGCCTTGGTGTCAAAGATCAGGGGTCTTTCGGGATCTTTYGCTGTCACAGTAGGATCTAATCTGATCTAACACGCTGCCCATCCACCGTTGCGAGTTCTCCCAGTACAGCAAAGTGTGCTGCGAGACCCCGAGTGGGCTGAATGTCAAGGTTTACTGCCTCTGCTTCCTCTCATGTCAAAAGCTCCGGCTTCGAGGGCTCAAACAGTGGGTGAGTAGGTGGTCCGTCCGACTGGCTGTTTGAACAGTCAGCCTGATAAGAGTAAAGAGAAGAGACTGCAAAAGGACAGGACAGATGGTGGATTACACACATTGTGAAAGTTTGTAAGCTAGTGTGTTATGAGGAAAAATGTGTGTTTAGGTGAGGCAGGAAATGGGAACTAGTTCAAAATGTGCGTTTGGGTGGAATAATAATTAAAAGGTGGGATGTGGTGATGCCCTGTCTGCTGGGTGAAAACATTTTTTTCTTTCTTTTTTGAGCTTCATTGCAGTTTTAATTAGGATAAATGAATGTAGGTCAGAGTCTGAGTGAGTTGGAACAAAATATCCCACTGTATCTGAAAGGCCAAGTTTGAAGTTTGAATACATTGTGAGTCGGTTTTGATGCTTCCTGGAGTTGTGTGCAAACCAATACAGTATGTGACCTTGGCATGAATGAATGCATGAGTGCCGAGGTTCTCTTGGGCTCTCATGTGAGCGGGATATGAAGTGTGGAGGAGGCGAGGTCAGTGATTTTATTGCTGCGAAGTTGAGTGGACTGCGTTGACCCCTCTCAAGTTCCACGAACTAGCCAAACTGACCGAACAAGCAGCGCCAGTTACTGTGGCAACAAGTACCCACAGGGAGATGAGACAACTCCTGTGGGATAAAATATTCCCCTTCCCAGTGGCGACTGTGTGTCTGTTTTTTTTTGTTTTGTTTTGTTTTTGTGCGTATTATCCTGCTCATCCACCAGCTCATTGGCCCAAACCTCTCGCTTTTAACATGACTCACACGTGGAACGAGTGACGTAATTGTCTACATGTGCAGAGACGTGTTTATAGTTTAACAGGGTCAGTGGTCCTGTCTCATAGGATGACTGTCTTTACTTGAACGCACGTCGTTACGCATGAACKTACCGAGGAATCCGGCTGCCACAGGGACGATTAAGGGTGAAGGTCTTTAATGGCTATCATTGTCAAGGACTGTAATGGAGATGGACCCAAGAATGCAGAGCAACATGAGGAGCTCAAATGAAAATGAAATGATTTAATTGCTTGTAAAATAATAATAATCAAACTTTTTTCCTGAAAAAGCTGGTGTGTGACATGGAAAGAACCGTACAGGGCATGGAAGCACAATGCCAGACTGCAGTTAAGATTTATATACACATACTGTACTGTATCTGAAGATAGACAAAAGTAAACACAAAGAACAGCAACACAAGAAATCCAAACTAAAYCCTCCAATCTCAAAAGCACAAAGAACTCAGCATCATCAAAGTCATGCAGGTAATATTAAGCATAGAGGCTCAGCCTCCAATCAAGCAATGTAATTTGATCTGTGGATGCACCTCTGAAGGAGGATGTATCCTCAGTTGATTTGAATTACATGCCCTCATCTCCTAAGTCATATGCATAAGTAATTAATTACCCCAAGATGAGGGACCTGTTTGTGTAGGAATTAGAAAAGTTTTTTTTTTCTTTTACTGTGTACAAAACTCTGTCCATCATTTTACAGCTAAAGTACGAAAGGTCAAATGTGAAGATATAGACTTTGTTGGAGGATTTTACCTCAAACCAAACATTTTACCTTTGACCAAAATAAGAGAAATAATTAAGAGAAATTCTATGCAACCCCTTGAACAAAGTGTTTCAAATGACGTGTGGATTGACTAAATGATAAAATTACTAATGTTTTTAAAAATTCAGACCCAGTCCAGAAATTAGACACTTCCTTTTGATTACCCTCTAGATCTGACTAATACAAAGACGTCGTTGGATACAGAGTGTGTATCAGGAAACAGGATTCTTCTTATTTTGTTAGAATTCATAGATTCAGTTACATCCGTTCACGCTAAATTATCCAATAGACGCTTGTGAGAAGAGTCGTTTCTGTTCCTTAGCTGTTTTTGTAGACTGACGCACCTCATGTTGTGGAATCTAAAGTTCATGTTATCCACTCCCCTCTGTGTGGGCATCATGCTGCTTGCCTCAGCACTTCATGTTTATGGCCTRCACTAACATTTTCATAGACTCCCACGGATGTCTCTGTCCCACCTCAATCACAACAGACACTTCTCTTTTGTTACACAAAGCAACCCTTTTAGTACTTCTTCTTGAGTCGGCTGCATTAATATGGACTTTCTGGGACACAGAACAACAGCTCAAACTTTTGTTGTGCCACCACATCGCCCTACTTTTCTTCAACCACTTTCTTCTTTTGCGGATAAACAAGTTCCCCCTACTTCATGTACGGCTGTCACCCTTTGAACCTGTGGTCTCTGGAGAGTGTGTCCACCCGACCCGTCACTGTCAATCTCGCGTCACTCAGCACTGTCGCCATACGAACGGACGATTCTCCAGGACAAGTGCTCAGCCTCGCCTGCGTCCAGCTGTCTGTGGGTCAGACAGCCCAGCCTCTCCTGCTGGCTGCCTCTCATCGACTGTGGTCCTCCGCCAGCTTCATGTCTGACTGCAACGAGGATATATTTTCCTCTCTAGTAGTTSTCTTTTTCTTCCCTCCAGTCTTTTTCAGTGACCTCTCCTTGTGTAGGACTGCGTCAGCAATTTTGTTTCACATCCTGACAATTCTTAAGAGTTTGTTTCTATGCTTTCATGTTAAAAGTCCAAATCAACAGATGAATTTAAAAGGTAAAAATGAATCAATAAAATATGAATAAAACATTTTCATGAGGGAATCCACATTAAGAGTGATAGAAACACATTCGGATGAGCCTTCTTACAGAGTGAGTCCATGCATGCCATAGGTCAGTCTGTCATCAAGAACAGTTCCCAGGTATTTATACTGGTGCAGGAAATGCAACTAAAGAGTCCTTTATAAAACTACTATTCACATAAAATTCACAAATGAAAGTGCAGACATAGAAGTAATACATAAGATAAATCAAACTACTGTATCTGTGTTAAACTGTGGTCCATTTTAAGGAAAACAACTAAATCCGTGCAACACTGTGTGCATTTAAAGTTATACGAATATAAAGATTAGACAAAGTTGCAAATGCGTCCAAATATTGCCAGAGTTGGCTTAATGTGTTTTCATTGTTTCATTTGCATGACTGAAATTTCCTCCAAGGAATTCACATGGATTTTTCCACCCTTCGTCTTTCATCTTTGCCTGCTTTTTCCCTGGAGAATAAAATTCTTCAAAATAAGTTACACATGCATCTCAAGTCGCACTGTCTCCCAGGCAGCGTAATGCCCCGAGCAAGCTCCACCAATCAATACATTTTGTTTGGTTCCTAGATACAGACACTTAAGTGTGAAGCTATGGTCTCATTTGGGGTTTGGCTCGGCCAGGATTGGCAAACGAGGGAAGATTTTACATGGCGCCTAAAATTGCTCCCGAGACCCTTCAGGAAAAAAAAAAGKTCCTTTGCCATCAAATCCATGTCGTATTATTTTTGCATGGCAGCACTTGTGGAGACTCTGGCTGGAGAAGAAAGAGGAGGAAGAAGGTAGGAGTGGGAAACAAAGTGGAAATGCGATAACAGTAGAGCAGCAGCAAAATGAGAGAGCAGCGTCAAGGGTCTGCAGACAAAAAAATTGTTTGTCTGGAAACAAGAAACAGAGACAATAACCTTTTGCAGAAAAAAAAATCTTACAGGATCAAAATACCAGGGTATATTGAGGACCTTTCCAGCATATCCAAATATCATTCAGTATGGTGCCACATGAAGCTGTGCAACAATAAAAACTATTTTTTATTCACCACTTGGAACAATATAAAYCCTGTTATTGTGACTCTGACTGTTATTCTTAACCTATATTCTTTGTTTTATACACTAAGTTGAYAAGAATTGCACAAAATACTGAAGTGCAATTAACAAAGGAGAAATTACTACTGAGTATAATACATTGCAAATAGTTTATATGTCAGTTTACTTTATAAACATATGTCTGGAACATTATTTATTTTAAAAACTTTTCAGGAGATATAAGAGAGAGGAATTTATTATAAATATAAATGAGACACTCACATGAAAAAGTGTCAATGAATATGAAAAATATCTTCTGCATAACTATCATTTTAATCCCTTACTCTCCTAAAATAGACACTAAGATAAAATCTTTGTATTTAAGTTTGATTTAACCTGATAATATGTAATGTATGGGATGTTTCTGATTTACAGTTATGTCTGCTAATGGTTGTTTTACTTTATTTTTTGAGCAGAATATATACTTGATACTAATCAACGTAACCTGCTAAATTACTAATTTATGCACATGAACAAATTCGGGCACCATGTTTCTCAATACATTCGTAGCTGTTTCCTCTGGGTCACCAAGTTTAAAATAAAATGTAAAAAAAAAGTCACTAACACATTTTGATTATTTAGTTCATGTAAATCTAAATGTAAATTTTAAATGTAAATGTGACTAAATGTTGAAATTTACACTTAAGTGTTTCGGAATAGAACCAAGCCTTTGCTGTTGGTGTGCGGCTTTTGTTATGRTGTCATCATCCTGCGACAAAAGCAAATGCTAAGGCTGTTAACGCTGGTAATATTACTAACTCTGGCAACACTACTAATGCTGTTAACCCTGTTAATGCCGTTAATGCAGCTAATGCTTCCCTACAAGACATCAAACCTGCAGTTGCAGCCGGTGTCCAAGCTGCACTTCAAACAACAGGACCACAGCTACCATCCAAATTGTTTTCAATGWACACATTTTGAATTTAGATTTTGAACACTAATTCAGCAGCGTTAGCAGCGATTACTTTTGTCGCAGG